GGGGCAGTTTTTGCCCCTTCCGTTCTCTCGAGTCGCAGGCTGCGCGGCGAACGAGTTGCAGCGCGTGACGCGCCTTCCGATGCGACGCGACACACGCAGCGGGTTCACGTAGGCACGTAGGCACGCACACCGGGCCCGGAGTCGCCGATTGGAAACCGAGGAGAAATAAGAGTAAGAAGAAAAAGGTAGAAAAAGAGAAATTGAAACGGGGGAAAAGATCGACCAAATAAACGCGTTTCGCGGCGCGGGAGATCGCGACCACGCCCTGTCTTCCCCAGCAGCCGTCCTCTGGCTTGAGGGATACTCGTATACCTATATCGCTGCCGTATATATATATATGTATAGCTTACACGAAACGAAGGAGCGCGCGCGAGAGTAGCCTCCGACTATATGGCTATATGGCTATATGGCTATACGGCTGTATGGCTATATGGCCCTGGCTCTGGCCGTGGCTGTCCCCTCGGCCGTACGGACCATGAGGTCCCCCTTGGCGAGGGGCCCTCGGATGAGCCACCTCGGGTCCGACGTATCGACCGGCACTCGAGAGAATCATCTCCCTTGTACGTACCACGGGAAGAGGGACTCCGATCCTGGACAACGACCTACGCTTCTTTTTCGTCCGAGGCGTATGCACCATTTATTAGAATGAAAACGTCATTACGGGCCCGTCCGTGCCTAATGCGCTGGTCGTGTCTCCACTTAGCACGGGCGGGGGCCCGGTGCACGGACGGGTACGGCCCTGCCTCGCGATATCGATAAACGATGCCTCGTAAAGATACGGGACGCTCGGACGTTTACACTTGAATCTTACGCGGGGCTGCGTAAGTACGCTAGATTTCTTTTCTTCCACGTTTATATAGAGACGTTCAGTAAACGTATCGTGCCCGAGTCCTGCCACGCGATTGGCTACCGAATTCTTTTCTCTTAAGGTTCCATCATTTTTCCACACCCTGTACACGTGACGCGACGTCTCGCTTCTCTCGGTTTCCGAGTAAATTCCGCTAGGCCAACTCGATCCGTGTGCCATAATAGGTAGGGAAATGTCTGGTGGTAAGACGTAGCCGAGTAGATACTCAATTCGCTGAACTGGTCTGCTCCGAGCTCTCGCACAGTACAGGGCGCAGCTCTCGAATACCTAAGTTGCCGTTTTTCCTTCACTCACAGAGTCAACAACCCCCGTGTCCTGCGAGCCGTGCCCCGTGCCCCGTGCGAGTATCAAAGCGTATCACTGCGCGACGACGCGCCAGAACCAAATCGACTGAAACGCGCCTAACGCGCCTAACGCGCCTTGCTCTGCTCTCCTAGCACCGCGTGTCCCTGCCAGAGCTCGATCCTCTGGCTCCGGTCGGCTGTATGCGTATGAGTATCGACTTAGAAAGTACCTAATGACGCTAGTGTGTATAATCGGTGAATCATTAGGAAACTTTAGGTAAACACCGGCATGGGCTTCTTCGTGTCCAGGTATTCCTTATGGGTTTTCCTTGTTTTTCTTAACGGGACTGTTTCCTCGATAACGCCGGGTACCATTTTCTGGATGCTGTTAGGCTTGGATTATGGGCAGTTTCTATGCGTATAATCGACAGAGGTAATAGTTACTCGGCATGGGATTCAATCCGATCCCATCGACACGATTCGATATTCTTATGCACCCAGGGACAAGTAGTTACCCACCACTGGTCACGAATCGTATAAACCTAAAGGTCGGAGAACGATGATCCGACAAAGGTCAGGATGTCTCAGCGACATCCCAAATTGAATCTGTGATCCGTGAATCGATTTGACGTCGATAAGAATCGGAACCTCTCAATCGTAATCTCAATGTTTTTATTTGACGTTGAAATTTTTTTTTTTTTTCTAAATTCGTTAAACGGCCGATCGAGCTCTTTTTACTCCCATTATCTATAAGACTCTATATATAGCCTGATATCGCTATATGCACGCGAGTGTCCACCTATGGTCGATGCCAGATAGCAGCGACCCGCACAGACGCACAGACGCACGAGATGCGTGCCTATCGGGCAAAGCACCAAGAAGGCATCGAGAAGGTACCGAGCCGAGAGACATGCGTGGATACGTGCGCACACGCATATGTGGACGCATGCGGTTACCAAGAGACGCCGAGAGCTATACGCATACGTCCTGACCACATGAGCACATGAGCTGCCGGCTAGTCGACGCGTGTGGGTTATACTACGACCGAGGTGAAAGAATGTCAAATGATGATTGGTCATTGCGGTGGCCAATGGGTCCTCGACTTCAGGACTCCTCGACGAAGGTAGGCTTGTCGAACGTCGCGGCGCCGCCTCCTGGTGCAGCTATCAGGTCGCATAACGTCGCGTCGCAATACCGTCATC